AGCGGAGGCGCTGGTGGGCGAACACCTGGCTGGGGTGGAGATGGCGGACGCACAGCCTATGGCGGAGGAGACGGTTCACGAACCGCTTATGGTGGCGGTGATGGCTCCCGAACAGCATACGGCGGCGCAACTGCCTATGGCGGTGCGACATCGTATGGCGGAGGAACGGCGTATGGTGGCAACGACGGCAACCGTACATCATATGGTGGTTTCAGCTCGGGAGGACGAACACCCGCATGGGGTGGATCACCTGGCAACGCCGCCTCGAAGTCGGGTGGTTTGTCTGCTCCTACGCCTGGGGCATACAACGCCCCTACTCCAGGTGCGTATGCCGCTCCCACGCCTGGTGGATACGGTGCATATTCTGCACCTACACCAGGTGGTCCACCAATGGACGCTCCTACGCCGGGCAACTACTCTGCGCCGACACCAGGAGATAGCTCTGGTGGCAGATACGGTGCTGCTACCGCACCAACACCGGGTGGTTGGGACGTTGCAACACCAGCACCAAGTGGTGATCCAGGATATGATTAGGGTGGTGAATTTGTGAAAACTTCGATGATTATTTCTAAAAGGGGGTTTTACACAAAATTGTAGGGCGTGTGCTTTTCTTTATTTGCCACAAGCATGTGCCCTCGCTCTCTTTGCCGAATCTTGGGATTTATTAATTGCATTTCTGGAGTCATAGAGTAGGATAGCACAAGTCTTGAGTGGAATCAAATGACTTTATTCCGTGATACACATAAATGCATAGTTGTATTGATATGTGCACATGGGCCCTGGCTGCCGTAGTGTGATTGGCAAGGCTGCGACATGTAAATGTTGCTGCTTCGGGGTGGCTGCCAAGGCGTCAGACAGGATTGGGTCCCATGATGCCAGCACTCGACCATGTGTTTTATTTTTAGGGCTTCAAAGAAGTTCCAGACTCCTTTTACACCACCCACAATGATGCAAACTCGCTGGAGAAAAAGGGTTTTTCTGGGGCGACTCATGGTCCAGTGTCTGGAGCCCCACACTAGGCCGCGGCAATGACGTGCGATGGGCCGAAAGATAGTTCTAGCACGATGCATCTAACCCAACAAGCACGGCACGATTGTCAAGAGTGACGCGTTCCTCGTATGTGAGGCTCTTTAGTGGAGAGTACCCTTCTGCCAGGAGGACTTTTATCTTTTTTTCCCCGCCTCAACAATAGTCCATACTACAGTACATACATGCCGCACATATATCCCCCACCGCAGCTTGCTTCCAGGGTACCCAACTTCATACACTCGCTTAAGAGGAGGGTCCAACTATGGTCGCGGAAAGACGCCAAAACGCAGAGAGCAGTCTTGATAGGTTCATAGATCTGATTTCAGATCCTTTTCAGTCTCAGGTAAGTATACAGCCAGCACATACGTGACGTCGCCAGCACCATACTCACCCCACCACAGGTTCAAGAGACCTCCATTTACGCCGCCATAGTATATTCCTTTGCCGTATCAGGACTACTAGTCCTCAGCTTCTGCTTCCTCCGACCGCGCAACTCGAGAGTATACGCCCCACGAGCCAAACATGCAGATGAGAGACACCGGCCGTTGCCGCTGGGCAACAAGCCATTGAGTTGGTTATCTGCCGTCCGGAATGTCCGGGAACAAGATCTGGTGGATAAAATCGGGCTGGATGCTGTCATCTTCCTGAGGTTCATGCGCATGATACGAAATATATTTTTCGTATTGACCATTGTCGGCTGTCTGATCCTGATCCCCGTCAACGTCGTTGGAGGATCGCCCTTCTACAAGCAGTGGAGTTCGATTTCGACATTGATGAAATTTACTCCACAATATATTTTTGGAAGGAAATTCTGGGCATACGTTGCGTTCGCATACATGATCCAGTGCACAGTGTGCTTCTTTCTATGGAGGAATTATGGTGCTGTTCTGAAGCTCCGACGTGCATACTTCAACACCGAAGAGTACAAGTCTAGTTTGCACGCCAGGACACTTTTGGTACGTATGGTATAAATTAGTAATCATATTTGTGCTGACTTGAAAAAGCTCACACACGTTCCACCACCATATCGAACCGACGCCGAACTTATCAAACTTATCGAACAAGCAAAACCGATTGATAGCGTTCCTCGGGCAGTTATAGGTCGTAACGTAAAGGATCTACCAAAATTGATCGAAGACCATGACCAGGCGGTTCGCGACCTTGAGAAGCACTTGGCCAAATACCTATCCAATCCGAACAGACTACCCGCGAGACGGCCAACTTGCAAACCAGCGAAAGATGACCAGGGGATTCATGGCAAGGGCGAAGTGGACGCAATCGACTATCTTACCGAGCGCATCACAAGATTGGAGACAACAATCAAGGAAGTGAGAGAAACTGTGGATATGCGTAATCCCATGCCTTACGGATTCGCGTCCTACGAACACATCGAAGACGCCCACGCAGTCGCTTTTGCTGCCAGGAAGAAAGGTCCCGAAGGATGCGATGTCTATCTTGCGCCAAAACCACACGATTTGCTCTGGCAAAATCTTGCCATGTCACGAAGGACCCGAACAATACGCGCATTTTGGGATGGTCTGTGGATCGTACTGTTTACCGTCGCCTTTATTATACCCAACATGCTCACATCAATTTTCTTATCCGACTTTTCACATCTCGGGCTGGTTTGGCCTACTTTTCAGGCAAACCTCTCTGCTCACCCAACGAGTTGGGCCATCGCTCAAGGTATTCTGGCACCGCTGGTACAAACTCTCATGTACATGGGAGTCCCCGTAGTCTTTCGTCGCCTGTTCACGCACTCTGGCGATGTTTCAAAAACCTCCAGAGAACGCCATGTGACTGCCCGGTTATACTCGTTTTTCGTTTTCAACAACCTTCTCGTTTTCTCAGTCTTCGGGTCAACTTGGCGCTTTGTGGCGGCAGTCATTGCAGCAAAAGACCAAGGTGTATGGGAAGCTATACGAGATAATCACCTCTTTACGAAGATCATGTCGGGGCTGTGTAATGTGTCCACATTCTGGCTCACCTGGCAGATGCAACGCAATCTCGGTGCGGCGATCGATCTTTCACAAGCATGGGTGTTACTCTGGAGCTGGATCCAGCGCAAGTGCTTCTCGCCAACCCCACGAGAACTCATCGAGCTGAGTGCACCGCAGCCGTTTCCCTATGCCGACTACTACAACAACTATCTCTTTGTGACTACCGTTGGGCTGTGCATGGGGGCACTCCAACCGGTCATATTTCCAGTTACTGCATTCTACCTTGCCATGGACTGCGTATTCAAGAAGTACCTACTTCAATACGTCTTCATTACCAAGACCGAGTCCGGGGGCAGATTCTGGCGTCTTCTTGTCAACCGCACGCTCTTCGCCGTAGCTCTCGCCAATGCTGTGATCGCCTTGGTAGTTGGCGCCAACGGGATAGGATCGATCGATCTCAACTCTCTTCAGATGGGCACAGGCAACATGCTCTTCGCCATGGTGCCCCTTCCATTTCTCCTACTTGGCTTCAAGTGGTATTGCAAGCGATCTTTTGATGAAAAGCTGTCGTATTACTCGACACGGCCCTTCTTGGATGCCGAAGCCGCACATGCCACTGACGATCGCAAGCAAAGAAAGACAAGCAGACTCTTGACTCGATTTGGTCATCCGGCGCTTTACAAGAAGCTACTGACGCCCATGGTGCATGCTAAATCACAGCACTTGCTCAAAGAAGTATACAGCAATCGCTCCAGCACAGGCCACAGCATCTTCGATACGGCGCAACGTCGCTCGATGGACCGCGCCATGCCCGCTACACCTGGCTATGAGCACTTTGGCGATTTTGTCATGACGCAGATGGATTCAGAGGAGCCAGGCAAACAGACCGCCAATGCCGATATTCCCCACGTAGAAATCGTGGCAGAATCCGAGCTCGACTTTGAAAACTTCAAGAAGCGCGCCGAGTTCCGCGATGCATTTGGTGGCGATGGCGAGTTGTATGGAAGGCCCGAAGACGCCTCGCGCCCGGGCACCCCCTCCACATTTACCACATTTACGGAAATGGGCCCTTATGGCCGGCATCGGGGTTCTGCACCCGCATCGCCGTCATCAAGTCGCCCGTCATCAAGTCGCACGCGTCTTGGTGATGGCAGTGATTTTGAGCAAGGGACGTCGTATGCCAAGGGCTACCAGCGGCCACCGCGGCCGGCAGAAGAGGGCTTTGACTATGAAGACTTGGGTGATGATGCTGACATGTCGCCGGTAATGCCGTTGCATACTGACGCAATGCTGCATGGTGTGCACAGCCGTCAGCCTCTTGTTGGCACTGCTGAGAACAGACACGGCAACAACAATGCCCCGGGTCATCAGGGTCTTGGTGGTGCTGATGCGCATGAAGATACCAGTTATGAGCGTTTTAGACATAGAAGATAGTGAGATGTTTTCTTTTGTACATATAATTAGAAAGCATTATTTTTTATCTGGTTTAGTAATACCGGAATTTCGAGGTTCGCGCGCAATAGCGATGGGCGACTTGGTTTTTCTTGTTTATTAATTTCTTTGCAAATTTCCCCCCTAAATAAGTCACACTACTATATTACTTACTATGGAAAGTAGGCCTATTTATCCTGTCTTGGAAAGTATGTACATACTGCCAAGTACACGTATACCATGTGGCTAAGCAAGATATAATGCAAAAGGGGGGGGTGGCTTAGCAATGCCACGTTTTTTTTTCAATGACTTGGAAGGTTCGTATTAGTGGAACTTGGAGGTTTACGGTGGATGTCTCTTGTACGTAGTTGGGCATCACATTGTCACGGGTAAGACCAACACACACAAACCTTTGAGCCTTCCGCAAAGTTCCAGGTGTAGTCTCGCCGGGCGTCAGATGGACACCGAGGAGAAGGAGGACGGGGACGAGGAGGTTGGGGCAACAAAGCAATGCACCATGGACGGTCAGCTTGCTTCCTTGCCATGTCTTTTACCTTTCTTACCTCGCCGTCCATTCTCTCATCAATGTCTTAGCAACGCATGCTTGAAAAAAAGTCTCTTCACCCCTCTCTCAAAGAAAAAAAAAGCTTATCAAGCGTACTCGGTAACTTTCCCAGCATATACACACCCACGAATAAACCCATCTCCGTCAGCACCCGCAAGCTTTCCAAAAACAGGGTCTGGGTATTACATGGACACTCAGTCTTGCGTTGCGCGCGTAAGAAGGGGATTGTCAGATGCCTAGATCCAGTAAGCAAAACAGAGACGTCATCAGTGTCAGCAAAAAAGTCTGGGTCGTATATGCCTCTCTCCCCGCCACGATTACTACGGGCCAAAAAAAATGTAGGCGGGGTTAAACGATAGTCCGTAGTCCGTTGGCTGATTGTTTTTGTCTTGCAACTGCCCTGTTTGCCGGTCATCTTTTGTGGCTTGTCTTGGTTTTTGTTTATGCTTCGGTGGTTGCCGGTGGATGAATATAGTTTGAGGCGACGCGTAATGGATTGGGAAGGTGTTGCGAATGTGGTTGCCTGCGTAGACGTATGTGCCAAGGATTTGGGGTATCGTGGGACATGGGGTGGGAATGGAGAAGAGGTGAAGAATGTGCCGTGTTGACGATGATACTAGTAGGGCGATGTAAACCGTGCGCTTGGGTATGTACACAGCTGAGGTGGCCAAAATAACCGGTCGCTTGGAATGAGGGAAGACCAGCTGCTTGGTACCTTCCGTATTGCGCAGCTAATGCGCGAGACGGGCGATGTTCTAGTGGCTTTGCGTTGAAAGTCAGCAGTGTTCTGGTGTACTTGGCTTACCAAACCATGATGTTCTAGTGTTTCTTTTGCTTTACAAGCAAAGCCCGCTTGCGCTGAATCTAGTCCTGTGCATACAAACAACAAGCCCGGGACGAGGCGCTAAGTTGTGCGAATAAGAGCGCAATAGAGAAGGATTCGCAAATGTAATGCTTGTGCTGGGTGGGATTCTTCGCCAATGCTGTACCAAGACTTGGTGGGAGTAAGACCGAATGCGAAAACGCATTTGGGGGGGCTTGGTATTTGTTTGGAAGGGGACCGGGGGGCGGTGTGTCGGTATGTTTGTATAGTAGTGTGTACGGTATATAAAACGGAGGGAAACGGAGTGGGCTTGGTACGGTAGTTGTAATGCGATAGAAATTGAAGTGTAGTATGTAGACGAGTGAGTTGGGGTTAGGCAGGTACTTTTCATCTTCTTGAATGTTCTCATTCATTGATTTTGCTTGGAACGGAACACGAACGGTTTGTATGATCTACGATTGTGGATAACTCAAACGTCATTATCGAACGATGTTTACACAAATTGGAGATCTATTGAGGGTGATTGATTAGGTGGGATAAGAGGGTTTATTTCTGTAATAAACGGCGGGGCGGGACGACCGGTTTGCTGGGCGGAGCTGGGGAAGACGGTGAGAGAGATACGGTAATCTGAGGGAACAGGCCAAGCGGTCAGCAGGATAAGGGAACGAACAGGACGCGGGAAAAGTCCATGTAATCCTAGAGATTTCCACTTGGCGTAATCAAGTTACAGCAAACAAACTCAAGAAACGGGCGCGAGAGAGACGGTTGATTAATGCCTAGGGTCCGAGTCCAAGACCGAGAGAGGGTGCGCAATTTGTATGCCGTCTTAGTGTTAAAGCTTTGGAGCAAAGCGGAGGCCAGCGACCAAGAGCAAAGCCAAAGGGACCAAGAAGGTTTATATTGATTTGGTCGCCAAGCCAAGAGCAGAAGATGACATTGGGACGTGGTCTGGTTGGACAAAAGGCTGTAATTGTTTCGAAACACAGACCGGCATTGACGCATAGAAGAGGTAGAGAAACCACCTAGCGGCCACTGGCGAATTGATTGGCCTATTTCTTGAGCAGAATGACTCGAAGAGAGTGCTAACTGCAACCGTGGAGGCGTCTGTCGTCGTCGTCGCGTCGAGCTGTCGGACCGTTCTTTAGCTCCTGTGGCTTCCGATGGTGTTGCGTTGACATGTCTCGTATGCGAATTGCGCATATGTTTACTTACTTACACGGCGGAGAGACAGACGGGCAAATTGCTATGCGCTATGTCCGATTCAAGTCAACCGAACTTGCTGGGGGAACGCTGATTCACTCGACCATGGCGCTATTTGCTAAAGACGCCAGAGAGAAGAATGTCGTTAGCATTGAGGAACTCTTCTCCCTTTCTCGAGTCTCGCCATGCGCCCGGCTCGTCGGACGACGTTGCGTAGCGCCCGATAATATTCGCTACTCGATGGTGGCGCGAACGGCGTCGCTGGTCCGCGCAGTACGGCGGGTGTCAGTCGGTAGGATCCGGGCGCCTTACCACGGTTATTTTGTGCCTGTGAGCTAGTAGCCAACACCTGCCACGCCCTCTCTCAACCGTGGAGACCAATACCTTTTAGTACATGTATGCGCTCCTTGGCAGCGGAGGTTGACACTTGCACCATGGCAGCCAAGCGCTGTGGCTGGGTTTTGGAGAGGACTCGAGATAGGTCGGTAGATGGGAAATGACCTGTTTACCAGCAATCATCAGTTCATAACCCACATTACCAAGCCGCGTAGCGCTCCGCTGTAACGCATCCTTTGACTCCAGGTTTCTCCGCAGTAAACTGGACCCTTGTCCATAACAGCGCGGGTTGGGACAATGGGATTGGACGGGAAAGGGTGATGAAGGATGAGCGATCTGTCGGCCTTGGACGTACATGTCCCATTCGGCCTTACTGCCGCTCGGCGACGTTCCCAACCATGGCGGCGGCGACGGGGTGGGAGGGCAGCCAGGCTAGCCCCCTAGCTACGGGTTTTGGGTGTTTGGGGTAAGCCAGTACGATGTGATGCATGCGCAGACAAAACGTGGGAGCCAAGCAAAGTAGCCTAAATCTGGAATCTTTGTAGCCTGATTCCTGGTGGGAGATGAACCCTTTTCCCGCCAAGCCGTTTGAAGGGTCAAGGCGACAATGGGTTTCAGGCCCAGGAGGATGCCAACGGGACAAGGCTAGGCCGGAGCTTGTCATGGGCATATTATTCTGGAGTGGAGTGTGCACGAGGCGGACACAGGGCATGACGACAGTTTGCGCGTTATTGCGGAGAATGACTGATAGCCACAAAAAAAGAGGAGCTCCTATAGTTCCGATTCGGTTCTGGTATCTGCGCTGTTCGTCCCATCTGCCATCAGCACGGAGTCCCGCCGCGGGGATAAACGGCTGTGCAGTGATCTCACCGTCCTAACTAAGCACACTCTACTACTCGTTAGTCGCGGTGGGCGGCCAAGCCTTCTCCGCAAGACTCCCTTGTCAGCCAGCTGCCACCTGTGGCTGGCGTCACCGTCTCAAACACAGCCTTCGACAAGCCCCCTAAGCAACTGTCGCAAGACTTGGCCTCTTGGGGCACATGTGGCTACGTACTAGACACAAGTCGTCGACTTGGCACTTACCTGTCTCGGAGATTTTACCCTCATAGCTGCCGGGTGGCAGGAATGCTGCCAAAGCGTGCTAGAATATTGCCTCCTGTTATCAGACTTGGCCCAAGAGGAGCGTTCTTGGCTGGAAAACCCCGTATCGAAGGATCCGTTACAGATCAGCATACGCCGGGCGTGAACGGAGCTGTGTGTGTGTGGCTTGCATCCAAGGCAAAACGCACAACTGGCTTTTGGTGCCTGGAAACGCATATCCAGCATACCCCTAATCCTTAAAATCAGATGTTTTTTTATGAGACTGACACACTGTTAGCCCGTTTGATCTGCGGCAACTCCTTAGGAACCAGGCACGCAGTCGACAAGCTTTTTGGCCTGAACCTCGCTTGCTTCACGGGCTTATTCTTCACTGGCCCATTCTCGATTCGTCACACGCCTTTGACAGGATGTTCCTGTAACGCCCGAGTCCCTTGCGTAGGCTGTTGTTCCTACCCGGACAGGGGGGCGTGCGCGCCTAGATCGTCAGCACTAAATTGTTCACCAGATGTCGTAGACTCTTGTGTACCTGTACTTAAACAACTTGCAGTCCGTATCTTTTGTCCAGCATAAAACAAACTTCATTCTACACAGTCGATCACTCCTTTCTCTTACTCATCAGCCTTCTACAGCACATCAATCTAAACTTAGTATTACACTTACCCATACAACACACAAACACATTCACTATGCTTCTCAAGACCGTCCTCTTCGCTACCACTGCTTCGGCAACCTGCCTTCACGGCCTCTCCATGTTCAAGCGTGCTGAGGGCGCTGAGGGTGCTGAGGTTGCCAAATTTGGTTATGGTCCTACCAACGGTCCCTTCAACTGGGCTTCTCTCGCTCCCGAGAACGAGGCCTGCAAGACCGGCAAGAACCAGTCTCCCATCGACATTGGTAAGTCCCACACTACGCTGATATCAGCTCCAAGACGCCTTTTACTAACACTCCACCCTTAGATGCCACCATTGCTAAGGCTGCTGCTAAGCCCCAAATCTCCGTCCCCAAGGTCGATGAGGTCCTCTTCGAGAACTTGGGCACGACCATTGAGGTCGTAACCAACGGCACCACCACAATCGGCAATGACTCCTTCCAGCTTGTCCAATTCCACATGCACACCCCATCCGAGCACCACGTCCTCGGCGAGTACTACCCTCTTGAGCTCCACATGGTCCACCAGGGTGTTGCCGACAACACCAAGCTGGCTGTTGTTGCCCTCATGTTCGAAGTCTCCGCTGGCAGGTCCTCCTCAATCATCTCTTCCCTCTCCTCTTCCCTCTCCAAGATCGCCACCCCCGGCAGCACCACCATGATCAAGGGCGGAATTAACTACAGCGATGTCATCTCCACCATTGAGAGGTCCGATGTCCTCACCTACTCCGGTTCCCTTACCACCCCTCCTTGCGCCGAGGGTGTCACCTTCATGATCGTCAAGCAGCCCCTTGCCGTCAGCGTCGCCGACTACACTGCCATCAAGAAGATTGTCAAGTTCAACTCTCGCTTCATCCAGAACACCCTTGGCCAGGACAACATGCTCCAGGTCGGCGCCGTCTCTGGCACCTCCAACGCCACCAAGCCCGCTGCCCCAGCTGCTCCCGCCAACGCCTCCGAGGTATGTCCTTAAACAACTGCACCTGTGTTTGCCTGTAAGACAAACTTCCCTTCACATTCTTCTTCCCTCTCCCACCCTGCACAAGCAAAACATGTTCCTGACATTCCTTTCTTCTCAGCAAAAAACTGAGACCAAGCCCGCGACTGGCGCCTACAAGGCCGACATTCACATCTCCGTAAACATGCCCAACATGCGAGTATGTTTGCTCTTTTTCTTTTCTATCTTTCACTACTACTATTATTATTCATATAACATCATACTGACTCATCTACCAACAGGGCTCCGTCCACGCCAAGCGCTCCGCCTAAGCGTCCCGCAAAACCATCTCCATAATCTCTATTCTTTCCTATCTCTCTGATTGCGGACTCCGTGCTGTCCACCAAAACTACTTGATCCTAGGACACGGCAAAATCCGTTTTCCTTTTTTGCTCTTTACTTTTTTTTCCCTTTTTATACACATCATACTTTGCGAATTTTCTTAACTCAATGTAACTAGTACGCATAGAAGGGAAAGACGGATACTACCCCCAATCGCCGCTACCGCATCAGCAGCGCAGATATGCACGCATTTACTCTTTTTATACCCCCAACCAGCATCACTATTGTTTTTTTTTTCTGATGCTTGAGTATCCAGGCGGTGGTGATGTTGGTATGCCTCTTTTTCGGGGGGGGGAGGGGGGGCGATGGTTAGAATGCGTATCGCTTTTTCAACTTTGTACATAGTATGATTTTACGACAGATCGAAATGGAGATACCACACAATAACCCTTTTACCACTTCACTTCCTCTTTCCCATTTTCAGCATTGTGACTTTTTACTTTCTAACCAAGTCGAACTAACCGCTCTCGCGCATCCCAAGTTTACTACCACTACCACTACTTTCATGCAAGCCACCCGCAAGCCACACCCACGCCCCCGTTTTACCCTCCGCTCCACTTCTCCCCTCTTCCTGTACATATAACACCAAACTCTCTATTGAAACCCGGCAATACCACCAAGCACCAACCAATCCAGTCACACCTTTTTAGTCATCAAAATCCGTTACACCCGCACCCGTCCCTTCCGCCCCCTCCTCCAAAAAAAGCAACGCGTCCCAAAAAAACAACAACAAAAAACCGGCATATTAACCCAACGCCAGCCTTAATACAACATCCCTCCCCCTCCCCCCGCAACTTGCCCGCCCGCCCAACAATGACAAATCTAGACATCTTTGCGACGTACGAATATACGCCGCTGGATTAAAACCTCCTTTTTTTTCCTTTGTCGAGAAGAATCGCAGTGCCAAAACTTCGACGCTCCTTTAATTATGATCCCACCCGCAAAAGAGGGTTTGCCAGGGATGAAGAGTTGGGTACGCTGGTATTAGTAAATGTAGCTTTCGTTATTGTTAGAGATGGTTGGGATGGGAAAAAGGGGGGATGGGTCTGCATAGAGAGAGAGAGAGAGAGAGGGTGGGAATGGTCTCAGATTGGGGGGAGGGAGTGATGATTACAAATAATAATATTTAAGTAGTAGCGTTATATTATTTTTGTATTCGGGCACGTACGTTGTTTGTATCGAAAAAAAATACCGCTTTATCCGATTCTTTTTTTTTCTCCAAGTTGGTTGTTGATGTTTTTCCCCAACTCACGTCCCACGGGGGAAAAAAAATCGCATATCGGAACCCTAAAATCACGCATGATCAAGTTCCTGCACACACACACACACACACACACACACACACACACAAAAGACACGAAACTTTCAAAATCCAGGGATACTCATCTTTTCAGCAACTTTCTATCGCAGCTTCCAAATGCCATTATCAGGAACAAGGGCAGACAATCCCCCATCTATGGATATCACAAAACAAGAAGAAAAAAGGAGCGGGATTTGGCAGAAGAGAAAAGGGCGGCATGTATAGAGAGAGGAGGTTAGAGGGAAAGCCCGGACTCAATCCTATGCCTTTTCCTTCTTCTTCTCCTTCTTATCATGATGATGCTTTCCGTGCTTCTCGTCCTTTGCATCCTTCTTCGCTGCCGCCTCAGCCATGAGCTGCTCAAACGCCATGAAGTCGCCCTCTTCTTCGGGGTCGCGCTCAGCCTGCGGAAAACGTTAGTTTTTATCCAGATGTGCACAAGGACAAAAGTAACAAACATACCTTCTGGAACATCTCTCCGATAATCATGAGAGCATGGGCCCGCTCGATGCGCTTCTCGAGCTTAATCTTCTTGTCGTTGAGTACGGCGTCACACACATCGCGCAGCACGCTCTGAATCTCAAACTTGCTACCTCTCCATGCAGCGGCAAGAATCTTGCCAGTGACCTTCTTCTCGTACTCGGCCTTCTTCTCATCTGTCCATGCCTCACCACCTTGCTCTTCCAGCTTCGCCATTTCTTCCATAGTCAACTGCGCATCTATCGCAGCAGACATGGTCGACCAGGTGTCTTTGACAAGAGTGCCCTTGTCCTTGATGCGGGAGAAGAAGCCTGAGATGCCGAGGAATTTTTGAGACTTGAGGAATGAAGATGCCTTCATGATGTAGGTGGTTCCAATGGCGTGGAGGATTTCAATACCAAACGACTCCATCTTGAGATTCTCAATCTCTAGATGAATCTTTTCCTTGAAAGCAGCAGTTACGTCGGTAGCCTTGTCCGTCTCGGTCCATAATGAGATACGCTCAACAAGCTTCTTAGCAAGGTTGTTAACGCGTTCCTCACGGATCCTCTTTCGCTCCATTTCGTATGCTGCAAGCTCTTCCCGCTGCTCTTTAGTAAGACCAGCCTTCTTCTTTTGCTTTTCCCGCAGCTCCTTCTCTGCATCGGTCATGCCTTCTGCCTCCATGCGTACCTCTTCATCAGACTTGTCCATGATAGCCGCGCGGATTGGAATGCCTCGTGTTGGTGGTGTGCTTGTCCGGGGTGGGAGCGGTGGGGGCTGCGTAGAAGTGGATGCACCGGCTGCGGGCGCCGGAGGTGCTTCTGCTTCTACATGAGGAGGTGGTACATGTGCCGTCTGCGTTCCTGTGTGCTCAGCTGCTGCTTCAGCCTCCTTGGCTGGTGTAGCAGCACTTGGGCCTGTTGTGTCTGTGGCAGCAGTCGGGGGAGTAGCAGCAGTCCCTTCGGCCGTAGGTGCCTTTCCGGCTTCTGCCCTCTCGGCCTCAGCCTGAGCGGCAGCCTCTGCCTCCATCTCACGCTGGGAGATTTCCATAGTCTTGGTAAGGTCCTTCATTAAGGAAATTTCGCCGATCCTGCAAGTATCAGCATTTCTGCTTGAACGAGACATCACTAACAATGTGTCGCGGACTATGTGGCTTACCAGTCTACGAAAGCCTCTCCACCAAAGATCATGGTGAAGAATTCGGAGGGGTCCTCTGTGACCTGTCAGCATCCCGCACTCGCAGCGTAGAATGTATTTTCTTACCAAACCCGCTACTGGGCATAGCACCCTCTTTTCCATGTTTGTCGTATGCTGCGCGCAGCTGCTCGTCGCTGAGAATTTGATATGCCTCACCAATCTGTCATGCCGTGAGCCCCGCAATCCTCTTGCATTCTCGACCATATTTGTTGGACGCTGCCCTCGCAGGCGGTATACGTACTTCTTGGAATTTTGCGTGCGCCGTCTCATCTCCAGGGTTCTTATCTGCCCTAGAGTCAGTCACAGGTGCTGAAAACTGTCGTCGTTGCGCTGCGTACCCGGGTGCAGTTTGATCGCAAGCTTGCGGTAGGCTTTTTTGATTTCCAGTTCGGATGCGGTGGGCGGTACGCCGAGGGCGTCGTAGTATGCGGTTTCTACTACCATGATTGCGAATACGAATATGTAGAGTGGAGGGGTAGGTGGTGGGCGGTTCAAAAGGAAGTATGAATAAAGCGCGCGCCGGCAGCCTGCACATGGCTGCCCGTGAAAATCACTGCACCGCCACAGCCGACGTCACCACTGTTAGGCCGTGTCATCCGTTCCTTGTACAGCCAGTCCCGCCGAACAAACCCACTTGACTCACACTCTATTAATATGAGCGATAAGCCACACCGGCGTATACGCTTATTCATGTATACACACAGTGTAGCAGGTACATGCCCACATCACGATACTGATGCGCAATGAATCTCGAAGCACACCCTTCCTTGTGTCCGCCCTCACCATCGGTTTCCGACGCCCATTTCACAATGCTGACCATCACCATGTGGCCCTCACTCTCTGCAAATCAATACTGAAAAGTGCGTCTATTCTCTTATTCATAGATATGTCAGATACTAGAGTTTTTCTATACAAGCCCGGAACCCTTCACCCCATCGAGGTGTACCCGCCATGGCCGTATGATTCATATAAAGAACCTGATATCACCCTTCGCAATCCCATGCGGACGCCATGCTAGAAACTCGGTCCCTACCAACCGATAGTGAGATATTTTTTGGACCAAACAGTGAACAAAGTGTGGAAATGCAGTCCGAACGTGGAGTACGTAATGTGTCCGCCGACGAAGGAGGATATTACAAGCATCAGCCGTGGTGCTGCATGCCCAGAGATGTAGCTAAAGCCTTAGACGCTGAACTTGGCTTTTGCGCGAGTGCTACCGGCGTGAGCAGCATCGGTGTGTCCAGAGAATTCGACAACATCGTTGTCCTTGAGCTGTAGCGCCTGCTTGAATCGCCTGCCAATCTTGAGAAGGACCTCCTTGCCCTGCTCTTGGGTCCTTCCCTTGCCTCCATCGCCGGGGATAGCACGGCCGACTGAGCGTGTCCAGAGACCGATACGGTAGAAACCTCGCCTAACGTTGACGACAACACCCATGACTTCGTTGTCGTCCTCATCCTCAAGGTTCTCGCCAATGGCGGCCAGCATGACGTGCAGCCAGAGCGCATCAATGTTGATTGCCTTCTTGTCCTTGAACTGGAAAGCCCATTTGCCACCGTGCTTGTTTTGTGAGTCTTCCCACTCCGGACGTACGCCCTTCTTGAAGAGATGGTAATCGGACTTGAGTGCCAGGTCGGATGTTGGAGTAATGTTGTTCTGCAAGCCATGTTAGTTTCGCAGGTTGCGCCAGCGGCAGAAGATAGCTTACGTAGATGCCCCAGAACTCCTCGACCGAGTCAAACGAGATAACCTCCTTGAGCAGTTCGGCCCAGTTGTCGCCCTGCAATGGTTAGCGAGGATGCATCGGCTGGCATACACACAACGTTAGCGTACCTTGCCACTCGGGGGCTTAGTGAACCACAGTGTCCATGTGTTCATGAGCGGGTGCTTGACGTTGAAGTTCTCGGGGTCATGGAAGACAGTGCGGATCTCGCCCTCATTTGCTGCATTGCTGCTGGACTGTTCGCCCTCTCCAGAGTTGTCGGTAGGCGAGATGGGAATCGTGTCGAGCGGAACCTGTTGGTTGCTGTTTGCGGAGGCGGCGACTTCGGCCATTGTGTTGATTTTTGGGGTTTGTATGTGGGTGGGTGGTGTTTTGGAGAAAAGGTGGTTGCGGTTGCGGGGGAATTTAAGAGGGTTGGTGGTGGGCGGAATAAGGTGAAGGCGGGCCTATCGCAGTCGCACCAGGCGATGGTACCGAGGCGGTCGCGGGAATATGCAGTCTAAGGGACTGCTTGCGGAGAAGGAACGGGTCGGAATTAGCTGCTTGCGGCGGGCGTGTCTGTCGAGAAGAATAATATGCAGCGCAGTCGCACTTGGTGGGAGCCTTCTGGTCTTGGCACGCTAGACACTCAAGTTTCAAACATGTCGCAAGCAGAGCGCCAGAGTCTCAGATGGCAGTTGGGAAGAAAAATAACTTTCGGTGTTCTTTGGTCGCCACCCGAGCTTGTCTTCCCATCACCATGAACGCGTTTATGAAGATGATTCTTGTGGAGATGGCCTCGTCCCCAAGTGAAGTGCACGCCTGCAAAGTCACTTCTTCAGCCTAACTATTGATACAAAACAAGTATTATTATACCCTAACTATCGTGCCAGGTCGTCACAGATGACTTGTAATCCAACCTTCATCGTCGTGCAAAATTAAAATTACTAGGATCCATCTCTATACCTGCCTTGACTCGTTTATGGTGGCTAATATAATTACATACAGACATAATGGCGAAAGATAGAAAGTCCGAAAGCCTATAGTTCGCTCTTTTCCACCGTCTCCAGGACTTTGGTGACTTGCGCAGGTGCCGTACTGGCTGCTCCGCCTAGAAGTTTGCCAAGGTCCGTTTTGGCCTGAGACCAGGCAATATCGAAGCGGGCTCCGGCAAGGTAGGCGATGAACAGCTAGTAAAGGTTAGCAAAGCTCGAGTATCCATGAACTTGACACGTACCATCAGCGAAGTCATGACAAGGACAGTTCCAATCACAGCAGCGACAACATAGATCAGGTCCCAGTTGGCCTCTGCATCCTCCTTCTGCTTCTTCATTGCTTCTTCTATTGTGGCTGGTGCTTTTCGGTCGGGTGGAGGCTGTTGCGATGGGAATATCGACTCGATGAATTGCTCAATCTGGGCCTGGTTAGTAAAACATTTGGAACCGACTTCACACAAGACTCACCTTTCCCAGTGTAATGCTGATCTTCAAGAAATTGGGGTCGTGTGGGTTGTTCTTCTTCGCAATCTTGCGAGTGTACCGCCTAAAAACCTCACAGACAAGCTGCAAGTTCTGTGTAGATTCGACCATCAACTGGCAAGCCTCGCCCTTGGTAATCTTGACGTTCTTTTGGAAAATGTCATAGTTCTGGAAACAAGTTTCCAGAGTCGCAATGGCCATGGACTGGGGGATCGCACAGAAGTTGAACACACTCTGCTCTCGGAGACCGGCCAGATAGTACAAGCAGTCATCGGCACGGGTTAACGCCGTCAGAATCATTTCCGAACTAGCGTTCAGTGCCTTCTCCTTGTTTTCCGGCTTGAACAGGTCCTCAAAGTTGTCCACGTGCTTAGACCAGATCTCCTTGGGCCAGAATCGGCGGCCGTCATCGAAGTCCTCCCTGATGTCACGAGTGATGTTGACCTGCTGGAGGAACTGGCCCATGGACTCCATGAGTTCTGGCCTCTTGAGCAGGGCGGCATTTGCCAGTCCAGCCTCAACGAAGAGACGTGTGCATCCCTCACCAACCAGACCCGCGACATAGTGGCAGTACAGCTCGTATTCTTTGACCGTCTTGACTCCAGCATTGAACTCAGCGTTGTTGGCGTAGTCTGCCATTCCGTTGCCCATGCGCGTAGTGATGTCCTTGATGATATCCTTGTAGGCGGGCTTGATCTTTTTGAATTCTTCAATGACCACGTTGAACTCGACCAGAAGCTGCCTGTCCTTCTCGTTGGGGCCATTTTCCGTAAATGTCCAGCCATCCTGTTCCAAGATGTCCTGGAAGTTGCGTAGGAGAGGCTCCTTCTTGGCCAAGGGAATGGTCATGTCATCCTCAATGGTATCGAGACCACGCAGGATTAGGTAGAATAGTGTGACGGGCACTAAAAGATCTGGGTGCAACTCGAGAATGACGGCGGCAAAACTACGGCTTGTCTGGTTGAGGAAATGGAAGCATCGCTTTAGGGACTCGGGTTCCTTTGATTCGTCGCGCTCGTGTACTGGATTGTGCCATACTTTCCTGGGGGGACATTAGCCATGTCGACCACGTAGGCAGGCCTGCAGACCCGCAAGGGAATGCGCAAGATGGAACTCATACCATTGAATTATGGAGCGCAATTCGGCCGGGTGAACGGCGTAGTAGAGGAAGCCCAAGGGACTCATGCCAGGCAGACGTAATGGAATCGGGGGTTTGTGTGGATGTTGGCACAGAGATGTATACTACCTGCAGGGAAGCCGCAAGATAGACTCCAATTGGTGCGCAAGAGACAGAGGGCCGCGGCAGATACAAGGTCCAGGATGGGTTGCAGAGTGTGCTGCTGGGCGGTTGCAGAAGACGTTGGTTTGCCCCTAATTCGAGCCTCTCCGCAAAGAACCAGCCTTGGACCCTGTGGTGCACGGCCCATTGGCAATCCCGCTTTTCGCGCCTCCCTCTTGTGATCACTGATTGTTGCGTGTCACCCACCTTCACCGCCAACCCCTTCTTGGGCATACGTATAACAGCCAGCATAGGGGCGATGACGAGACATGATGGCTTTGCTCAAAGGATCCCACACGCCGTCATGCGCATACCCTGCTCTTACTCGTAGTTTGTCCGCCGTGAAGACCATCCGTTCTGCATTCTAGTGGGAATGATGCCAAGTAGATGCGGATACATTAATACTCATTTCTTGATCGCTCCTGGGCCTCTGCTCATTTTCTCTTGCCGGCTACAACGATGCTTTGGGCCGCCAGTGGGCTCAGGCAAACAATTTCGGTTTCGGTTTCCGTAGCTTGCTTCACAACAGACTCAACGACTCTTCACTACAAACTCATCTGGTGATAGGATATGAGACACGCAATGGGATCATGCCATATATTTTGTGTTGAAGAAAAAGAGGTCGAAAAAATTCGTCCGCTGTTCACCAAGTGACGAGAGATGAGTGGATTAGATAAGGTGCGACGGTGACACAAGCAGAACGTGATCGGTGATTTCCTATTCCATCAACCCCCTACAGTGCAGCTCGCACCCTGGCTGCCCCGTCAGCTTTCCAGACACCACGGCCACATGTATCGAACTCTGTATGATGATGTGCTCGGCCCAATTGAGGTAATGACGCCACAGATGCACTATCGATAAGCCGATACCATTCCTTCAATCCACATTCGTATCTATGGCAGCAACGACCCATCCAACACCAAGAGCCATGGCAACAATACAGACTGCACCAGTTGCTCTACCACGCGTTGCAATCACCTACTGCACTCAATGTCGCTGGATGCTGCGAGCGGCCTATGTAAGCACTCTTACACGTTGCACCAACAACCTTTACCAACATATACAAGTTTGGCCAAGAACTCTTATCAACATTCGGAACACAAATTGGTGAAATCGCCTTGATCCCTGCGACTGGGGGGCTTTTCACAGTGGAACTGGTAAGTTTTGATATTGCCATAACGCTGGCTAGCTGCTGACATTGCAAGACATACGTTCCATCTGTGGAACAAGGTCACAATGCTGAAGCAACAAAGGTGCTACTCTGGGATAGAAAAGCCGAAGGCGGATTCCCAGGTTTGTATCTCTCAGCAATGGAAGATGTTCAGTTGGTGAGATGCTAACTGGCTGTAGAAACCAAGGTACTGAAGCAAAAGGTGCGGGATTGCATTGACCCTTCGCGGGATCTGGGGCACTCGGATAAGCACGGTAAGAAGAAGGAAGAGAAATTAGTCGAAGGAGACAAGGCCAAGGCCGAAGAAAAAGGAGCAGGGCAGGAGAAGAGCCAGGAGGTTGAAGTCAAGAGGAATCCAGATGGAACCATTTGTGAGGATTGTAGATGATGAGCAAGACGCGGGTTGTCGGCGGCAAGATGAGCTCAAGCTCTAATAGCTCGACCGTTATACCTATTGGTTTGCTTAGTAGGTGGTATGAACAGATACATATCTGGCAGAACAAGCTTGTGCATGGGATTCGGAATGCTGCCCTTGATTCGATGCACATCTCGCCACCGAAACTCTATTTCATTCTGTGTATATTGTCTAGTCCAGACAAATAGAAGGGCTAAAGATCGCTCGAATCTCATGCCAAGTTTGCCGCAACGCCAATGTACAGCTAGCCCCAACATCAACAGCAATGCTGCAGCAGCAGCATTTGCACTACTGTGAAGCGATCTATCGGTGTCGGCATAGCATCTATGAGACATACATTATCGTGAAGTGAGGAGCCGCGCGTAACCTTTGGGGCGCATGTGGGAAGGATGCACTATGGTAGTAGTGAATGAGAGTACGTCATCTGCTTGACAGCAAAGCTTTGATCCGCGGATGCTAGGATGACGATTAGTTGGATACATGAAACTAACCATGTCGATGATCTTTGCGACGTGGTGTAATCGTTGGTTATGTGAACGCTGTCACGCAGTTGCTGATCGAGACACTCGGAGACTCTAGCCGGCGATGCTCCTTGCATGGTGCAATAGGAGTACGTTGTAATAGAGCAGCACTCGGCGGAGGTGAAGTCCGAGTAGGCTCCGGTGTGGTGGTGACGAGTGCGATGACAAAGCTAGCACAAGTCGGCGGAGCGCAATGTCAGTGTATGCAGTGCCATGATGCCCACCAGACACCAGCATGTATACTCGTGCTCCTGCTGTGATAGACAGCTTGTAAGTATGCAGTCATGCATCGCAATCGCACGCTAAGCTGTGAGGAGAGCCGAGCAATCTTGAACGGCGATCATGGCGGGCTGACGGCATCCCCACCCCCGACCTCACAATTGGTGGGCAACAAACTGTGCGACACACTTGCACTTGGACGCGTACAACACCACACCAGGGTCGATGCGCAAGCCATCATTTCCCCATGCTCGCTGTCACATTGCCGTGACGCCAGCAAAGCGTGGGCAAAAGGGCCCCGTACAGCCTTGACAAAAACCGCCACCCTCGCTGAGAGAGATCGTCTAGAAGCGCCACACAAGCCTTGCTAATTATTCCAGCACTCCCAAGGCTCATCTGCTGGCGCGCGCTTTACCACAATGAAAAAAATAAGGCCATGTAAGCGACTGCGGGGTCCTGAGTTGGGAAACAGCGCAGACAGCTCCCAGGCCTAACAGCCAGGCCAGGTACACATGGCCGCCCAATTACACGCATGGGCGGTCCTAAACTCTGCTCTTTCTGGGACGACTCTAGGCATACTCTGCACCATCTGCGTCGAGAACGGCCGCGCCAGTTCGATTTCCCGGCGCCATAGCCCGACCAGCGCAAGCCACTCACGGCAGGCGACTCGTTTTGGCATGGTCGTCTCGCAAATCGCTCTACCCGCTTCCTCACGAGCCGATACATGCACACTATAGTAGGCGGGCGTTGCGATAGCTGAAGCGACGACGGGGATCTAGACACATGGCTGCATTGTCCCACCTTCGGCTACTACGAACTCCCACCCAACCCTGTCTCCCTGCCGCAGCAGAAGTAAATCGATAACATTGATCCCCGCCCGTGCGTGTTGTGTATTTCATTCTTTGGTACGCTTACCTGCGCTTTTTCACACTAACATAGCCTCGGAAGCGCCTCAGCCCGTACAATTAACGTCAGAGACAAAACTTCATTAACACTTAATTCCCAGTCACTCGTCTACCCTCTTGACCACTTTTCATGATTTTGCACACAGTGACCTGCGTTTGGTAGTCGCTACGGCCTCATTGGGCGGACTTTGACGGCCACCAAAAGACTCCGTACATTCTAATCAACACGTCATAGCCGGACTACAGGCGACCAAATCTATTTTGGCCTTCTACAGGATAACAAACACGAGACCTTGAACTGGCATCTAAATGGGTTCGAGATCTGCCAGCTGCTCTGCAGCAATACGAGAACCAATGCATCCGACAAAGATTCAGCGATGGTCGGGCTTGACTCGTACCGTAAATGACTGGGACCACGGTTTGCGAAGGGTATGTTGGCCCTTATTGTTATTGTGCTTGGCTGATGTTCCGAAAAGGACCCTGAACTATGGTATGAGGATGGCGACTGCTACGTTCACCTTCATGCCAGAGGAATGTCACGTCGTGGCCCGTCTTTCTGCATTCCCTTCAGAGTCTTGCGACAAAAAAAGTGCGAGTCGGTAATAAATCAGTGCGATGCTCATTTGATTTCACTGCAGACATCGGCCTCACAAAAATTGAAGCGGGTGCCCAGTTCACTGATTGATGCAAACAAGCAACCAAGCACTATGGAACTTTTCATACCTGCGCCCGCAGAGGTTGCTCGACAAGACTCTTTCAGATGGCACATTACAACTCGCAACTTCTTCGCATTCTTGCTAGGCAAACCGTTAGTTGGCGACCATATGGGCCAGGCTTATGTGGATCTTCAAGAAAGATTAGACCTTTTTCGACCTGATCACCCTAACAATGTCCAAGACTTTCTATCCTACGCCGAAGACCAGGGCTACCGCGACTTGGTCGAATGCACAGATTATGCTCTTGCAAGTTTGTTCTATGCAGAGCGTTACAAGCTTAGGGATGTTTGGGTTGATGCTTTCGCCCATTGTGTTGGCATGAACGAAAGTTTGGCCCTTAGCCCGGAATTTTCAGTAAGGAGCCAAAGTATGTTGCCTGAGTATGACACTAACGACTATTCGTAGCCTATCTCAAAACTTACTAAAGCCCTGATTACTCGAGCTCATCGCGAAGTCGATGCTCATCTCGGGCGCGTGTCTACTGCGCTCAGCAAGTTCCTGCAAGAAGACTTCTCGCCTACATATCTTGGGCTGACAGATGCTGCTCGAAGCCATCTGGACCGATTCCGCCGTTTCTTGCATACATTCTATGCTGAAAAGTTTGGCTACTGGCCCCCACCTCGAGGCACAATATTCCCCAAGGCTCTTTACAAATCTATGTATTATGACTTCAAGAGCCTATACGACTATCTCGTAGACACAACATCTACTGTCGACATTTCTTCTCAAGGGCCAGCGAGTGGCGGGATTTGTGTTCTGCAGAACGTGCTTACTTTTGACCAGCGGCACAACTTCACTTCACTGCCACATCCATTGCCACTGCTGCCAACATACATATCGCCTTCGAAGAAATCAGACTCGCACAGGGCATTACGGCAGCTTACTCTTGCCTCTCAACATCAAAAAACACACAAGATCCATACCATGAGCGGTGCGTTGAGGGCTGCAACAAACATTCTGGACCAACATGTCACAAGCTCGAAGATTGTTCAAGCATATATGCACTTCGAGAACGCACATGCCGTCAATGCATGCCGGCGCCAGGAGAAAATAACCGTTATGGACGCGCGCAAAGTCCGTTGGCTCCTCATTTATGGTACTCTCCAGTACCTGGTGTCTGCACTTCGGGCTCCAAAGCAGGTTCGCGACTCTGAAAGCTCAGATTATCCCTTGTGTTATATTGCAGATCCCACTTCATCAGCCGCAGACTGTACAGATGCGACCCCTTCGCCAGCCCCTTCGCCAGCCCCGTCGGTGAATATTTCCCAAGCCATCGACCAGTACATTTTGGAGTCGCAATGCAGCCTTTCGCCCATCGAACCAGACTGCCAAAGGGAGGATTATTTTACCCCCAAAAACTTGAGTCGGCGAGGGTCTATGGAAGTATCACCACTTAGGGTTTCTCGACCTGCGCGTCCATCCTCAGTGCGATCATTGTCACAAATGTCACTATCCTCTCTGAGCTCTAGGCGGAACAGCCTTACGACGCAGTCCACGCGTCTCTGCGTTAGCAGTACAAAAGTGTTGAACGAGTCAGTGGAGAAATCTCAACCTTCAAATAACGATCCGCTTGTTCTTGTTTGCTCTGACCAATCCACCTCGCCGATCGTCATCAATCGAAGTGGGTCAGAAACATCTTGGTTCAGGTCGCGCACACCTTCTGTTTCGCGCAGCAGGCGAGCCTCATCAAGGAGCACAGATGGTTTCCCGAGAACCCCACTACTTGACGGCTCACAACTTGATCGTTCTGCAAAGGCACTATCACTCTTAGGCATAGGAGAGATCCCCAGCCGGTCGGGCAGCACTAGCTCTACGGGAAGTTCGATGTGGAGTGAAGGTGTAAGCGCAGCTTCATCCGAGTCAAGCACATGCGACGATAAACACAAGACCAGCGAGGCAGAAGAAAGTGGTCTTCTAGGCGGTCTTGTCTCCATTATGGACCCAATGGACGCACGACGGATTATGTTACCAATCACACCTCCCGTGTCACAAAGCCACATACACCCTTCGTTGCGGCAGGAATCTCGGGGAGAAGGGTTCCAATTCGAGTTGGATGACATGAAATCAGGAGTCAAGCATGGCCACCATGAGCCTGATGATTTCCAATCAACCATTGGCATGGCCGTGTCGATGCCTCCATCATCTAGCCTCCACGTTTCTCTAGGAATAGAGCCTACACTCATTGATATCGAGGCACATCCTCCAGTCTCCGACAAGAGACCGTCCCTACCACGATCCATTTCCATTCTGTCGGCTCCAGACATTACATCTTCTGCATCCAGTGGCAGCCTTGATACCGCCAAGGCTCCCACAGAGAATTACTGGGAGCAGTACAAAGCCACACTTACTCAGCAACGAGAACGGTCAAGGTCAGGCGCCGGTTCGCAGTCAGAACCTGCCTCTTCCGGAACCTTCAAAGTACCTTTCTCCCGCCTCTCCAAACCCAGTAATGAGGACAACCGCGGTGTGAAGAGTGAGCGAAGATTATCCCATCTATGGCGGCGCTAAATCTCATTTGTTCGATTTGTTATACATTCGGGTTTTTTGCACTTTTAGAGACTACCTATGCGGCGTTCGGCATACAAAACTTGTGCCAGCATTTCTGTTCTATACCCTCATCAGCATTAGCATTTTCACTTTTTACACATGTACACCAACAGTTAGCAATAATGCACCAACAAGGAAGGAAAAGCGATCTCTTACCGCCATCTTGGTCTGCGCATCTAAGAAATCTTGAATCTTGAACCTTTGACGTATCTCTAATCGGACCACGATAAACGGAGCGACCACGGACGCAGCCTGGACATGAGTTTCCCCGGCTGCTAGGTTCATGACAACAATTTCTAGCGTCTTGCGGGGAGTAGGCTGCTGCTAGCTAGATACTTGCCCATCCTAATGACTGAATGCACGGCGGTAATTTGTGCACAACTACGATCGTCGTTGGGAGAGTCTTCAAAGAAGCCGCGCGTAGTCGTGTACTCGGTAGCCTAAACGTACATCTATAAGAGATTTTACAGTCACAGTTTCTTCGCTAACAACTTCATAGACATTACCCTAATCTGACTCATGTGTAGCAGCCTCCACAATATATACAGTAGCATGGATGCAGATGGCGGAGACAACCAGGTACAAGTTCGATAAGGTTCTTTGTCATGGATCTTAAGTCAAAAAAGAGTGGCCTCGACGCTGGGTTCGAAGTGTGGCTCGGCATGAACGCGGTGAACTGACAAGACGCCGAAATTTGAGTCTCCACTGATGGCGTTATCCTGAGCAGACAGGCCAGAACGGCTTGCGGCCGCACTGTCGAAACTTTTCCTCAACAAACATGCGATCGCCTTGCGGGATCTGGAGCACATTTGACTTTGCGCCTGCGCCAGCGACTGCGGTTCTAAAACTTGAACGCCGGCCCCAGAATTTGGAATGCATCGCCTTCCACTGATAACGTCATCCAGGAGCAACTAAATACACCAAGTGGCGAGATTGCGACATTGATGAGGCTTGGGCAGATTCATCGCCCCAAATGAATGGATGTGCCGTGCGGCTCAACAGCATTTACCGCTCCAAAGCGGTACCTGTGCAGCCTTGCACTTGCGAGTCATTGTCTCTATCACAACACAACAACGTGGTACTCATGCTCGTTATTAACAGGCTATGGAAAGACCGTTGCAAGCGCCTAAGGCTCGGCCCTTTGCCATTGCATGCAGATGCACGCACAGAACCGTTGTTCCTCGTATTTGAATCAAGTACATCTTGGGCTGTCTATACAAAAGAAGTCATGTTGGGGGTGTGGAACCTATTTGTGCCGAATATGCGGGAGACATTGTTGGAATTACCTCGCACTAATCCAACATCTGGGACACTGACGAGTACAGTTTACGCAACTAATTCCTCCTAATTACAGCTAATCAGTTCCCCGTTTTGCATAAACAGGGCAGCTTGCTAGGCAAAAGGCAAGGCGCAAGGCGTAGTGTCCCGCCATTTTGCACACTAAAGGCCGGGAAACGTCCGTCTGGGGACAGGCAGGCGGCAACCACCACGCTGTGACTCCATCATTTCTCGTATTCTCCACCACCTCCTTGGTATGGAATGTACAATCTCTGGAGCTCTGATAGACGATCACGTCGAAGCTTCATGCCCCAAGCGTTGACCTTGTGCCGACTATGTATGTAGGAGCCTGGGGTTGATAATGGAAACAAGATAAATACAACATCCCCATCCTCCCCACAGCCCATCACCATCCACAGACAACCATCCCACTATCTCCTTCCAATACTCTCTTCCAAACCCAAAACACCGCAAAAATGCACTTCCTCACCCTCACCACCCTCCTCGCCACTGCGAGCGCCGTCCCAACGCTCTACCAGCGCAGCCCTGTTGGCCACGCCGAACCCATCCTGATTACCGACTACAGCGTGCGCAAGACAAACGGTACAATCCAGAATGTCAACTTCCACATCCACGGCTTCCAGGCCCGCAATGTGTCCTGCGCTGCTGGTCCCATCCTCTCGCTTCCCAGCGAGGCTGTCACCTGCGGAGCCAGCAACTACAGGTTTGTCCTGTCTCCATTAAACGGCACGGATCCCAACCAGTATGACCTGAGCGTTTACCACCAGACCGGTTTTGCGTAAGTTCTTCCCTCTTCTTCCCTTTTCTGTAAAACTTTTGTGTGCTAGGATGGTGATGACTAACGGAGAAATTTTTAGCTCTGGCAAGTACGCCACTGGCACCGTTCCTACCTACTGTGTTGCTGGCGGTCTCGGACCCCAGGATTTGCAGTGCAACCAGATTCGCCAGCTTGGTCCTTACAAGCTTACTCTTCGCTCCTAGATGGATGCGGGTAAGTTGACAGGGGAGGATGAAAGTAAGATGGATATGAATATTGGCAGGCCTCTGAAATGGTTTTTTTTGTATATAATGAGGGCGAGGGAAGAGATGGAAGATTGTGAAGACGGTGAAAGGGGGAAGTGATAATTCATCTTCTTGTATATAGAATGAGGATAGTTTATTGAATGATTTGCTGGCTTGGAAAGTTGGCGGTTTTTCGATCTGGGTTGAGTGCAGTGAAGTGAAATTTTGACAGGCAATTGGAAAAGAGAAAGGAGTACATACATTGGAAAATAGGTAATTGTACCACTTTTCCCTCACCTCTATCCTGTATACACAGACATCACGACCCTGTCTTTTTGTCATGTAAATACCCACCCTTGCGTCAACAGCTCCTCGCTAAGACACATACTCCGGATCAACCTCAATCACCATATCCGCCCCAAACGCACTCGGCCTGGGTGCCACAAAATCCGGTATCCGCCAAACCTCCTCGTTCCATCTCTCCAGCGTCCCCGGCGCAAGTTCTTCTTGGCAATCATAAAGGTTAAGATGCTATCACATCACAAAACGTCAGTCACTCATCCCACACCCGCATCTCCACTCCCTCCTTTAAATATCAGGGGAAAAAAAAATCTAGAAAGAGAAAGAAATAAGAGCAACATACCTCCAATCCCACCATACCTCCAATAACCCCCAAAGCCGCCTCCCCAATAACCCCCCCACACTCCCCAAACTCCACCCTCCTAACCCTCTCCCTCCCACACCAAACCCCCAGGAACATCCAAATCTCGCTTCCAACCCCACCACACCGCTCCAGCACCACCTCTTCACACCCCCTACTCTCCGCCAACAATACCGCAACCTGCCTCGCACTCACCACCGCGCCCTCAACCCTCAACTTGAGGAGTCTGCGACTCCAACTCGGCGGGTCCGCCGCAAGTACACACCACGCCTTCCTTTGCTCGTCGCGCTCCAGCGCCATCTGCGCACGCGACACGGCGCGGCCGGGGTTCCCCGCCTCGAAGCGGAGCGAGAGGCGCTGGAGGGCGGAGAGGTTGCGCAGGGCGTGCGCCATGTGGGTGCTCATTGTCCAGATTGTGATGTCGATGTGTTGGAGGAGGGGGTGGTGCCGGGTTAGGATGCTGGTGATGAGGGCGGACTGGAAGTTTGAGAGTGTGGTGTAGGGGTAGGTTGTTATGTTTGGGATTGTGAGCCAGCGGTCGTGGGGGTGCGTGGGCTGGGAGGGTTGGGAGGGGGAGAGGGGATGTTTTGAGGGGGAGAAGGTGTAAGGGGAGGGGAGAGGAGATATTCCCAGAGAGAGGGATTGTAGGTTTGCGTTTGCGAGGGTGCGGGCTGAACGGCAGGTTTCTGAGAAGCGGAGGAGGGAGGGGAGGGGGAGGGAGGTTAGGATTTGGCTGAGGAGTTCGGCGGGGAGGGAGAGGATGTGGGGGGACATTCTTTTCTTTCCTTTGTTCTTTTGGGGGGTTGGATGGTGGGAGGATGGGGAGTGGGTGAAGGGGAAAGGAAAGAGAGGGGGCTCTTTGCTTTCTTGACTAAAGGTAGATGGTGAGATGGTATGACAAGAGATGAACAGATGTCTAGTTGGGAATCCCGAGACATTTGTAGTAGGTCCTCCAGAACAGAATGTGCTGTCGTTACCTCGACTAAAAGAGGCCATATATGAGGCCCTCTTTGCAGCCTTCTCTCCGCGGAATCCCCCACCGCACTCGTCCTCCCTCCTCTTCCTCCTCCTTCACAAATCATCTCACAGGCGCTCATCCCACCAGCATCTCTAGCCCCAAGTCCTTACTCTTCAACAAACCCCGATATGGACACCGTGGCGCTCACCAGTGCTGTGGGGGTGAATTTTTTTTTCTACATGCGGCGTTCTACTAGTCTACGTCGCATGATGTTGTGTAAGACGGCCCCCCCCCCC